GCTTCTGTCCGTCTTGCGACGATCCAAGAATTTCACCTCTAACGTCGCAATACGAATGCCCCCATCCGTTCCTATTAATCATTACCTCGGGGTTCCGAAAACCAACAAAATAGAACCGAGGTCCTATTCCATTATTCCATGCACACAGTATTCAGGCGAAGTTTTGGCCTGCTTTAAGCACTCTAATTTGTTCAAAGTAAACGTGCCGGCCCACCTCGACACTCAGTCAAGAGCACCGCGGCGGGATTGAGTTGGGCCGCCCTTGCGAGCTAAGCCCACCGGCAGGACGTCCCACGACACGCCAGTTGACACCGCGTACGATGAACCGGCGGCGTGGGACACAGATTCGACTACGAGCTTTTTAACCGCAACAACTTTAATATACGCTATTGGAGCTGGAATTACCGCGGCTGCTGGCACCAGACTTGCCCTCCAATTGATCCTCGTTAAAGGGTTTAGAGTGTACTCATTCCGATTACGGGGCCTCGGATGAGTCCCGTATCGTTATTTTTCGTCACTACCTCCCCGTGCCGGGAGTGGGTAATTTGCGCGCCTGCTGCCTTCCTTGGATGTGGTAGCCGTTTCTCAGGCTCCCTCTCCGGAATCGAACCCTGATTCCCCGTTACCCGTTACAACCATGGTAGGCGCAGAACCTACCATCGACAGTTGATAAGGCAGACATTTGAAAGATGCGTCGCCGGTGCGAGACCGTGCGATCAGCGTAAAGTTATTCAGAGTCACCAAGTTATACGATGACGAGCGAACCCGCCACCGATTGGTTTTGATCTAATAAAAGCGCTCCTTCCGTCTCCGGTTGGAGCTCTGTTTGCATGTATTAGCTCTAGAATTACCACAGTTATCCAAGTAAATGTGGGTACGATCTAAGGAACCATAACTGATTTAATGAGCCTTTCGCGGTTTCACCTTAATTTGGCTTGTACTGAGACATGCATGGCTTAATCTTTGAGACAAGCATATGACTACTGGCAGGATCAACCAGGGAGCTGTTGTATTAACTATTCGAAAAAGAACGAAATAGATAACAGATAATCAGTCTCCTCTAGTTTTTAATACAAGAAAGACAAACGTATCCTAATCTATCATAATTCTTTTTCGTTTGCGTGTTTAGTTGCGTCTGAAAGATATACTTTCTAACGCCACGCTTACAAAAAAAAATTATATGACAAAATAGTAATATACATTTTAGTCTAAATATGTCCGGATGACTTTATAACTATAAGGTCCATTCAGATCATTCCGTAATTTACAGAATGACTTAAGCGGATCAAAGTTATAATTAACGCCTTCCGGTGAAAAAATTCGACATCCTCTCAACCCTTCGCTAGATTGAAAGCGACACGGTGTTCTCGAAAGAAGCAGTCGGTACGTATTTTACAATATACTCGCTCGGAAAGAGGAGAGTTATCGCACGTTTATATGTTTTGATTGATAATACAATTAATCAAAACTGTTAATAAGATCGTTTTTGAATTACTCACTGAAAAAGCTTGTAAATTTCACGATCTCACTGTCTACACCGCAGTAAAAGTATGAGTAGACGATTTTTAGGTATTTTACGCATAAATCGGCACAACAACTAAACAGCTCAGCTGTTGAGTTGACGGCATACTACACAATTTTACCGTAGTGTACACAATCTTGCTAATTCATAGGTTTTACGTATAAACTAGCACTACAGTGTGAAAAATACTTTAAAGTAAACAGTAATTAGCCGTTATACTTAACTCTGTATTTTCACGAAATCTTGAGTTACTATTTCGAACTGACAAATATGCTTCCCCCACCCTTCCCGCAATAACTAAGCGTATTTTCATCTCATTTTGTGGCTAATTGCCATTAAATATAGTCAATAATATTGAAACACCACCACAAGAAAATAGATTTTCAAAAGTTATGTTATTTTTCTATAGTTACTAATATTGAAATCAACAGTCAATAATACCATCATCTTTATATACATATATACACTAGTTATATTAGTATAAGTTAATAATGTAAGTAGTATATATTTAAAATTCAAAGTCCAATTTCGATATACACTATTTAGATGGAAGATAAACGAAAAACTAACACAGTGTAGACGACGCCGCATTAAGCTTGTCGCTCACTTATGCACTGCAACGCGAAGCGCGCCGAACAAAATTTCTTCGCCTAGGATTTTACGGTTGCGGTCCATGTCCCTTCTGTTCGCTGTGCAGCGCGTTGCTTCGCACAGATACGCGCGAGTATATTTAACTACATGAAGAAAATTTATAACCTTTTTCTCCGCACTTCGCTTCGCGTTGCAGTGCATAAGTGAGCGACAAGCTTTAATCGCCGAGACAGAAGACGAGCTCCAAAGAATAACACACATTTTCCATACAACAGTAAAGAAATACAATATGATACTCTCAGCAGAAAAAACCAAATGTATGACATCTAAATATCCACTACGAGGTAAAATCGAAATTGATGAGAAAATAATAAATCAGCAAGCAAGGTATAGATTTAACTACTTTCGGACATGTTGAAGAAGTACGACAACAAAGCTTAAAAGCAAGTAAAGCGGCGGATCTCTTAATGACACAATCTGGAAGAACAAACACCTAAGACAAGACACAAAAACAAGAATCTATAAAGTAGCAATTAAACCTATATTAACATATACGGCGAAGACAAGACCTGACACATCTAAAGCGAGACGACTACTAGAAACAACAGAGGTAAGAAGAGCATGAAATATAGAAGACATAAATGGATGGGCGACAAAACGGAAACAGGAGTGGAACGAACACATCAGTAGAATGGCAGAGGATATGATAGTACGAATAGCACGAGATAAGTCATCAAATGGACGAAGAAGTATTGTAAGACCAAGAAAAAGATGGTGCGACAATTTAAACAATTTAGGACAATAAACAATATTGAAGAAGAAGAAGACTTTTAAGCACACATACCAGAAGGAAGAAGAAGAATTAAAATCTGCAATAAAAAATAGGAGTTGCCATTTAAAATTTCAAAGTTGCACCCCCTTTCACCCCTAGAGGGTGGTGATGGTGGGTAGTTTTTGGTGTCATTCGATAAATTTTTAAAAATTATCAAATACGTGTATTTTGGTTTTTCATTTGGAAGTGTATTTATCGAGATATCAAACCATTGTAATTTAAAAACAAACAAAACAATATTTAATTTGATAATTAAAATACCTGAAAGTTTAGTTTTAATTAAAAATCATAATTTTATATTTTTTCCATAATCACTATTATTTTAATTTCTATTTAATTACTTTTTTTAAATTATTTGTTTGCTTTTATAAAATTTCTAAATACATCCGTCACCACCTACCTGTTCTTTATATTATTGTTATGGTCAGCGACCTCCGAGAACAGGGTATTTCCCCAAACTAGTTCCGATTTAGGCTAGCGGTAATATTTGTTTACATTTTTTACGACATCGACGGGGCTTTCCAGCCTGACTAGACACCGGTGACGTCACGAGGGATCTTCGCTAAATTTGATCAGTTTGTGTTTATATATAAAATATATGTAAATAAATATATTCCGGTTTTAGTGTGATTAAATAAGTGTATATAATTTAAATAATAAAGACTAAATGAATTAGACATTAATAAAATCGTTATTACATTGCATTTTCAGTCGTTTAAAACGTTATCTGCTATTCGCTTACTTCAATTAGAAGAGTATTCACATTAGGATATAGTAATTGTCTATTAAGAATAGATATTGAATAATTTATTTAAGTAGTTAAACGTACGACTTAAAATTTATTTCAATATTTACCTGGACATCAGTTCTAAATTAAAGTATAACAATGACATTCTTTAATTACTGCTGTTGATAACCTTGTATGTGTAAATGTACGTGAGCATTATTTCTGAATAATAAAATATAATTTTCTAACGTAATAAATATTATTAGATCAGGGCGTATCTGTTTTGAGGTGGATGTGAGAGGTGGCATTCTGATATTTGCAGAAATAGTAATAAAAAATTAATGAAAACATCATTTTTCTACTTTCCTTGCCTATAACTTTAAAACTATTTATTTTGAACAATTAAAAAATCACTCTACCTATCTACCATACTTAGTGTATTAAATCAGATTATTTGGGTGATCTCGGAAATGTTTTAAAGGTATAAAATAATCTTTTAGATTATGGACAAATAGAATATCTCGGTACCTGTTTAAATTCACAAAACGTTATTGTGGGATGGATTGATGTATTATTTATTTTATAAGAATTATATTTTAAATGTTAGTTTCAAAAGTGGGCGTCATCTATCGTATGTCTATCGGTAGCTATATTGTAGGTTACTGTTGCATCAATTGTAGCAATAGTTTCTGACAGGTACCTTCTGATAGGTGACGAAAGTAGGCGACGCCATCTATCGTACGTGTATATTGTAGATTTCTGTTACACCCGGATACTTCGCAAAACAATATAATTAATCTCGGGGAAGATAATATTGATATTGGTATTTTAATTTTGTTAAAATTAGTTAAGAATTATATAATGAAAATTTGGGGAGTAATTTTCAACTTGAAAGATTTTAACAAAGTAATAGAAGATCATTCCAGTCCACGTGCAAGACAGCACGCCTAGAAGACCAACAATTATCAGAAAATTCGTTATATAGAATAAACATAAAATTATATTACGAAGTTCATTTTTATTAATGCGATAAAAAAAATGATCGGTTGAGTATTTGTTAAAAGTTAAAAAAAAAATACTGTTTATAACTTCGTCGCAAATTCCAATCAAATCTCAGGAAGTAGTTGTCGTAAGAAACTTTTTTTTTACTTTTAAAAGAATCGTCTTTTTCCTTTCCGAATTTTATTTTAACTGACAGTTTAAATTGAATTTTTGCCCGGTATAGCTCTCATTAAATAAAACTACCTGAATAAATAATTTTTTACATTTATGTTATGGACAATATATTTTAATACAAAAATAGTAACGTCTCTCACATACTTATAAAATTGTGGCTCTAAAAAGAACCGTTTTTTATATTTGTAATATGAAGTAGTAGGATTACTTAGAACTTGTATATTTAGTAACAGCTTTGGTACCTTCACTTACGGCGTGTTTAGCTAATTCTCCAGGAAGTAATAGACGTACTGCGGTTTGAATTTCCCTGCTAGTAATTGTTGACCGTTTATTATAATGAGCTAAACGGGAAGCTTCGGCAGCAATTCTTTCGAAAATATCATTTACAAAACTGTTCATGATACTCATAGCCTTACTGGAAATACCAGTATCAGGATGCACTTGTTTCAATACTTTATAGATGTAAATGGCATAACTTTCCTTCCTCTTACGCTTCTTTTTCTTATCGGTCTTGGAAATATTCTTTTGAGCTTTTCCTGCTTTTTTAGCAGCTTTACCACTAGTCTTAGGAGGCATTGCGGACACAGAAATTGACGTCTACTCGTTGAAAGTCGAACGAAAACTAGCCTGCGCAAAAAATTCGAGAATTTTATAATGAAATGAGTAATCGACGTAAGACCCTCCCACCAGCGCTTGCGCGTGTCCTGATCTTTTGAAAATCTGATTGGTCCGAGAAATAATATAAAAATGGCCGTTTTAATTTCAAGGGGATCAGTATTCACTTGATATTCAAGGTAAATTAACGCAAGTAGAAATCTAAAACATGTCTGGACGTGGTAAAGGAGGCAAAGTTAAGGGAAAAGCAAAGTCCCGATCAAACCGTGCTGGTTTACAGTTTCCAGTAGGTCGTATTCATCGTCTGCTGAGAAAAGGGAATTATGCCGAAAGAGTTGGTGCCGGAGCTCCTGTATACTTGGCAGCTGTAATGGAATATCTAGCTGCTGAAGTTTTGGAATTGGCAGGAAACGCAGCGAGAGATAACAAGAAGACCCGTATAATTCCTAGACACTTACAGTTAGCTATAAGAAATGACGAGGAATTAAACAAATTGCTTTCAGGAGTTACCATCGCCCAAGGTGGAGTATTGCCCAATATACAAGCAGTATTACTACCCAAGAAGACCGAAAAGAAAGCTTAAGATCTGTACTATTTTCCCTTTTTATACAACCCGGCCCTTTTCAGGGCCACATACTATTTCACGTGTGGGTTATGTTAGGTCTGCTTATTAGTTGATTTTTATAGATTATATAAAACTTTAACAATAATATGGCAAAATTCCTAAAGTTTTGAGTTTTAGTCATAAAACGCCCAAACATAGTTCCCTTTATTGATGTAATTGAAGTTAGACACGTTGAAATCGGACACCCCTATGGATACATTTATGCTTGTGTCGGGCTTAAACAACCACAGACAAAGCCTTAAATATCGAAACAAATTTTTTTGATGTCATTGTAATAATAAGTTACGAATGGATTTACTTCAGCACTTTATATCATTGATTTGTACTTGAAGTGTAACAAAGAACATGCAAGGGCTTTTTGAATTAGGCCCATGTGTTTTGATAAAGTTCAGTCACTTTAGTTTACCATTCAGTCAACTTTCGTGAAATACTTTATGTCAAAATAACAAAAATTAAATAAACAATCCATTTGGTCATATCTAGATCATGGGTATACATCATATGTATTGTAAGCAAATAAAAATAAGACAGATACTGTAAAGTTTCTTTCTTGAAATATTGTAGTGTATGAATTCTATACATAAGCAATAAATTGTGGTTCTGAAAAGAACCGTTTGTTTAAAGATGGAAGGTGTGTTATTAAAAAATTAACCACCAAAACCGTATAAGGTACGACCTTGGCGTTTAAGTGCATACACAACATCCATAGCAGTTACTGTTTTCCTCTTGGCGTGTTCAGTATAGGTAACAGCATCTCTAATAACGTTTTCCAAAAATACTTTTAATACACCTCTCGTTTCCTCATAGATTAAGCCAGAAATACGTTTTACACCTCCGCGACGAGCTAATCTTCTGATAGCAGGCTTAGTAATACCTTGGATGTTATCACGCAAAACTTTACGATGACGTTTAGCGCCACCTTTTCCCAAACCTTTACCACCTTTTCCACGTCCAGTCATTTTTACGGTAAAATAAGTGTCGACGTTCTTGAATTACTGCAGGAACTTTATACACGGACGCATCTTTATACACTATTTTCGATCGTTGACACGACACGCCTCCAAATCGAAAACCGACCAATGTTGTTAAAGAGATTACAATTCAAAATTATTTAGTCGACCAATAGAAATTAAGATTGCCCCTCTCTTATGAGCCCACATGGTATAAACTATATAAGATAACGAAGAAATTCATTGTTAGCACTTTCGATCGAGACGCTGAGCGAGCAGGTCACTGTTTACATACCCGCTCCGGAACAGCGTCGACGAAAGGTTTGAGAGAGTGTATACTCTGAAGCTTGCAGCGCACAGTTTGTCGATAGGAGTGGACAGCCGAAAAACCAACGAGGCCTGGCGTTGCCTACAAAATTAATTAGTACGGGGTTTCAGTAGAATATACTGGCCCCAGAATATTCTTTTTGTTAGGCCTAAACGCTTGCAGGAACAAGTGCCAGTACGTTGTTTCACTCTGTGTAGACGTCCAACGAGGGACCATTAAGCAGCGTGGTAACGCTGGTAAGTAAAGCCACTGTCAAATACCACACATATCACACTAGTAGGGCAAGCCTTTTTCTCGGGGGGTTTACAACCCCCTGGCTCCGTGAGGCTGCGGAGTCTGCTAGCGGTCTGATACTGTGTTGTTCAATTCCCCTGTTGCTATGCCTGGGTCTACCAGGTCCGCCCACTCCACCCGGTCTGTGACTAGATCACAGACTGCGGCACTAGCCTCCAACCCCTACTACGAGTTAGTACACGACCAAACAAACATAGAAACCCCCCAATCTGAGATCCCTGAACAATCGTACAACCCATATTCATCTGCTCGGGAACTCCAAGATCTCAGTCATGAAATTCTGATCCTACAAACTCGCTTCAACCAAAAACGCCGAGAAATCGAGGCACACGATAGCAATCATCCGATACTCCGAAAAATCGATTCTGACTACCCTCCACTACCATCCACGCATCGTAAACTTTCAATCTCTTCTTCTAAAAACACAACCACCAATCGCCAAAATGCACCGTCTACATCTCGTTCTTCTCGCCAAAATGCACCTACTTCCCAACCTACTCAACCACCCTCTCAACAAATCACTTCACGTCCAACTTCACGTCCAATAAATCCACAACCCTCCACCTCCAATGACACAGCTCCACAAAATCAAACCCAATCTTTTGCCAATGCACTAAGGGCACCCCCAAACTCACGACCAAAACACAACCCAAACATCACGAACTCAATCAACAATCCGAAAACATTTGAATATCTAATCACTGACATCCCAAAAGATTTCTCTAATCAGAGAACCTTCTTCCGCGTTTTAAACTGCATTCCCATTCTTTTTAATAAAATCCATTCATTAAAAGTACTATCTCACGGAGTTGCTCATCTCCGTACCCTCCACTCCATAAACGCGGAAGAACTTCAAACTAAAGTCCATAAAGCCACCGGACAAACCCAAATAAAAATCTTATCTAGATCCCATTCCACTCACAACCAAGCCAACCGTTCAGAAAATCATCTATTCCTCATTGTAAACGTAGGACACGAATACTCTGAGGACGAACTAGCTCAAATTCTCACAGAGCAAGACATCCCTGTCACCAGGCTATGGAGAGTAAAATCTCGCATGACTGGTAAAGACACAAAACTAATAAAAGTCCTTACTACTTCCAACGACAAACTCAAACATGTCCTAAACTTCGGCATTCCTATCGATGGACTCATCCATTACACCGAACTCCCTTACTCTTCTAATCCAACGATCCCTACCCCCAAATATTGCAGCAAATGCTGCTCAAATGGACATACCATCTCAGAATGTCGTCAACGCACTTTCGTCTGCCCTAACTGCGGACAAAACCACAAATCCAGTGACTGCCCTAATCCCAACAAGCCAAAATGCCCTAATTGCAACGGCGATCACACCGCCTATTCCTCTCGTTGTCCAAAAAGACATGAACAACCCAACAATCCCTACCACATCCAACCCCTATCCTTCGAAAGATCCTCTCCCCCATATGACCTATCCACTGACCTCCAAAATACAATCAGACTCAGTACCTTAGTACTGCTCAATATCCTACCCGAAAGACGGGAACTAATCACTGCTATCACAAGTTCCGTGGTAGAAAAGATCTTCGGCCACACAATCACCTTGTCTGGCCACAACAATAAGGTCGAAATGACCTTCCACCCCACCTATTAAGCCCTCTCTATGGATTTCACACTAGGAGCAGTTAATTGCCAAGGGATCTCTAAAAAGAGACCCCTAATCAAACATATCCTGCAAAAACACAACATTCAAATTCTTGCCATCTCTGACACTCTCTGTCGCAACACTCCGACTTTTGCAGGATATACAACGATCTTTCGAAGCCGCTGTCAGGTTTCCCGTGGGAATGGTATCCTTATCAAACATGGACTACCACACTCCCCCCACGTATTCCCTCAAAATACTCCTCCACCCAACGTGGACTTCCTGGCAATTGACCTCCACCTTCCGAACAACGAAACCCTCACGATAATCTCTTACTACAGACATCCAGCTAGCCCGCTTTCCACCGAACTCCTAGAGTACTTCGCAACTCTAAACAAAGCAATTCTCATGGGCGACCTGAACTGTAGACACACACAATTCGGTGATCACCTCACAAATCCGGAAGGCATCAGACTTTCTGATTTTCTTCTAGACCTTCCCATCATAAGAATCACAAACACTGATTATACGTTTCTAAACGCAATGGGGGCATCTATCGTGGACCACATCATCGTTACAGGTAGCGTGATGCACAGGTTTGATGATAGATGTCACATAGGCGATACGATAACGTCAGACCATCTCCCGATATTAGTTAATTCTGATATCATGTCACCCAAAATTCCTCCACCTCCCAAACAAATAAGAGATTATCGCAACGCAAACTGGCCACTCTTTAAACAATATATCACAAATAACATTCCCGAGTTAGGCGAACTCGATACTACTGAAAGTATCGACCAGAGTGCTATCCAAATTGAGAACCTCATAACTGAGGCCATCAATCACTCAATTCCTATGAAAACAATCCAACCCTTCTCTCCGGCACTTCCACAAAACATCATTGCCAAAATACACCAAAAAAGGCGGCTTCTACGCCAATACAAGATCAACAGAGACCCCCTAGTCAAAACAGAGTATAATCGCATCTCTGCTCGAATTAAGAGGGAAATATCACTCCTACAGGCTCGCCAGTGGGAAGATGCTACCTCGAAATTGGATTACAGGGATGGGGCTAAATTCTGGAACAAATTCAAAGTCCTAACCAAACAAAAAACTTCTCAACCCTCACATCTGTTGATCGACAACCAAATTGTCAGTTCCCCTGAACTGAAAGCCGAAG